CAGATGTCGAAGCACATGACGTTGAGCCAGAAAAAACACGCCAGGAAGGAGAACTGGAGGCAGAACCCTGGAAACAAAGCCCGAAAGAAGGCACGGGGTTAAATTTTTCATACAGTATTCCGAGCTGCATACTGTTGTTTCTCCCCCTGCTCCCCTCCCCCGTGTTAAAGGTTACTACATTCTGGGAAAACCACCCCTACCCGGCCATAAAGCAATAAATCTGATACGGGGTTACGGGGCTGCCGCGAGGCTACCCCCTGGCTGGGCTTGGGCCCGGCGCGACGGAGCCCCCTTTTGCCTTTCCGGTAATCTACCCGAGAAAATCCACTGCTAGCCGCTATCTCGTACAGCTCCGCTCAAAGCCCCCGCCCCCCTTCTCAGACCTACCTCTCGGACCACACCCTGCCCGCCACGATTCGCCACATCCCGCCCTCCCCGCCCACGCCCCACTCTTACGTGCGACTAAGTCCGGGACTCACTCTTTTATACCCCCACGTTCCACGTTCCACGTTCCACCCCGTGACTTTCCTTTCTCTCCGCCCTACAAATAATCTTTCGCTCACTCACTGCCTTACGTATCATCAGCATGCTCGAGCATTGATCAACTTGGCTCTTTTTTGTTCTCTTCCCCCCTCCCCCATTTCTCTCGCAGCAGAAGTCCATTTCGTTTTGTTGTTTTTCCTCCTTATTTTAGCGAGCACCTTGGCACAGGAAGGAGCAGCTGCGGAGGGGAAATGATTTATCATTCTTCTGCTCGGGCAGGACAAGGGCAGGAGCAAGGGAGCGAGCGAAATGCGCATTGCAAGGAATACAATTTTTAAATTATACAGACTAATTCACAATTTCATTGCTCCTAGAACTCTTTAAACTGTTGAATCTATCCGTGAAGATTGATTCACTTCCGTGGGCACCTTTCCCGATCCCCACAAAGAGCGAGCTGGGCCTACGCGACCTAAATGCCTACAGCCACCCCCCCTCTCTCACCTGTCGGAGAAGGGGTCTACAGCTCGCGCAGTTCGCTCTTTGCGGGTCCCTCCATCTTTATACCATGAAATGAAAGCCTACATCCCCGTGGATATGACGAGAGGTGGCCGGGCAAGTAGAGTATGCTGCTCCCGCCCGGGTGCTGGCCGACCGCGCGCCGGAGATGGGGCTCCAGCTGGAGAATTATTTTTACGATCGGACCCGGCTAGACAGACGCGGGGCGGCAGAGCGGGGGAGGGTGAGGAACCACAGGTGGAAGGTATGGAAAGGGGGGTGGGGGTGGGGGCGTTAGGTCATGCACGCGCACGGGGGGCCTCGTCGAGGTAGCGCATTGAAAATGAAACGCCAGGGAAGCAGCCGCATAGCGAAGAGCTGTGCACCAGCGCAAGTGTATAGCGACGGCGGACGAGTAAGTGCACTTGTTGACACGCGTGCTGTTATTCGCGCAGAGTTTTTCTTTCTTGATGCCAGTTTAAGTCCTGTGGGGTGAAAGGCAGTGGGTTGGGGGGAGGGGGGAAGGCTGCCTCCCCCAAGAACTGCCGAGTTTGTCGAGTCGTTTCTCCGAGAGGAAAAGTTATTGCGCGTGTGCTCCAGAGAACACTATAGTTTTGTAGCGTACGCCCCACCTGCTGACACCCGCGGATCATCGCGCGGTTCACGGGGGCAGTTTCAACGGAGAAAAGGGGGAAGGGGGAATAGTGCGCTTTTGTCAGACCCGTGCCGTTTAAAATTAATCCTCTCCTTTCGGACGCACACACTCACCGGATTTGTATCTTTATTCTTTGTACAAATTTAAGCAATCCTTCTTTTTGCTCACATTTTCTGCGTTGTTTTGAACACTTTTGTGAAATTGCACGGAACTATGTATTTTTCGCACAAATTTGTTCTAAACGAAACGTAGCACGAACTTTTGCACAAAAATACCCGCCCACACCGCATTCGTACGTGCGCACTGCGATGTGTATATCGCACTCATATTGACTTAATCTATCAATCGATTCGGCTCTCTTATCAGTCTACCCTGGTATCAATAGTACTGTAATGAGTACACAGACTGTGCTGCACATTCACCGCCCGACTGCAACTGCCAAAAGAGACGTCAGGCCTCGCGTCAGGCCAAACGAAAAGCCCCAACAAAGATGTAATAATGTAATGTAAATCAAAGAAAGGCATTCGAGTCGAGGGGTCGCCAACTCGCATAATACTCCGTACACGGGTCCCATAATACGTTACTTCATATTATGCAATAAAATACCCCACATAATACATATACTACCTAATAATACTACATGATACACCATGACATCAAATAATACGTCATGAAATCGCTTAAAACATGCCATAATACCGCATAATACCATACCGTGCACGGCTAAGGTGAGTAAGGCGACCCCTCGATTTCATCACTGTTAAGCAGTGCCGACGAGGTGCGTGGGAAGGAAAATAAACCAGCACGGACAACACGATCCGTCCTGATCACAAAAACCGTCTCCTTTCGCAATTCGCGGGCCCGGCCCCGTGCCAGGTTCGGCGTCAGCGCGGAAGGCAAATAAGGAGTGATGCTGCTCTGCAAACAGGGGCCGGGTGGCCCAGCCTGGCGAAGCCCAGGGCGCCGGGCTCGGGGCGAGCGATGGGCGAGGGCTTTGAGTGAGTGGGTGCGGTGAGGACGCGCACACAGAGTGCCTCTTTGAACTCGAACTGCGCAGACCGCGCGGCTCGACGAGGGTGCGTGCGTGCGTGGGTTCAAAGGAGGGGGTCGTTTCGCAACAAGGTTAAAAATGTCAAAGTCCTGGAAGTACATTGCCCTGCCGGCGGACCATCCGCCTTACAGCAGGAGAAGCCCCAAACGTACTTTGGAAACACAGGTGTGTAAATCACTGTTAAAAAGTGAAAAGGGCGTAAGTCCAATGGGAAGTCCGGGGACTTCCGCCCTCTTTACTTTTCACCACCACTGAAGTGTCGCACACTGGTAGGTTCCCATTCGTACACCTAGGTAAGGAAAAGTAATAGTATGAGTTTTCCGTTGAAAATGCAATTCACACTTGAGCCCTCCATGTGAGCGAATGGCATTCACACACCTCACAGGTGTGCGACAATCACACACTTGGATTTCCGGTGTTAAATCGCACCCTTTTAGACTTTCCCGGGCTTTCCATTGCATTTTAAAACTAAAAATAAGTGTTCGTCGTGAAATACAATTAAGCGCGGGACCGGCTCTCCTGTGCTTGGCCATGAACTTGGCCGAGCCGAGGACAGCGCAGTCGGACGGAAGTGATTCGGAGGAGTCGTCGTCGTGGTTTCCCATTCCGCGGAGGCGTCTTCTGAAGACCGCAGCAGAGATTAGCTATGCGGCTGTAGGCGGGGCGGGGCGGGGCCGGGCGGGTGCGTGGGCGACCGACACAGTGTTTCGCGGGATCTCAATTCCTCATTGACGTCAGGCAGAGGACATATTTTCTATCACATTTTGAGTAGAACGGTGAGGGTAGCGGCGACGCACGCCCAAGACCAAACGGCGCGGTCTGCGTGGTCGGGGCGCCAGCACGACCGCGCGGCTACAGCAGCGCAGGGACCCGTGTGATCGAGGGGCGCGGGGCTGGCGGTTGGTCGGAAAAGGGGCTGGGGGCACCACGAATTTCGACAATAATTTCCGACACCGACGCAAATTAAATGTCGGAGGAGAGTTTATTCTCGTCTGCCAATCAGCGCATCTAACGCGTCACCGGCGACGGCCGTCCTTCCAATTTTTTTTTCTCGGCACAAATCAGTATTGTTTGTTGATGTTTGATTTGTGCCCATCAGTCATCGCGGGGAGGAGCGAGGAGGCATCATCGCCGCGCTCCATGGGGCCTTCATCTGCAAACAGAGAACGCTCGAACGGCAAGTCATGACGACGACGCGGCGGCCGCGACCGAACGAGGTGGGGGTGGGGGGCGTTAGGTCATGCACGCGCACGGGGGGCCTCGTCGAGGTAGCGCATTGAAAATGAAACGCCAGGGAAGCAGCCGCATAGCGAAGAGCTGTGCACCAGCGCAAGTGTATAGCGACGGCGGACGAGTAAGTGCACTTGTTGACACGCGTGCTGTTATTCGCGCAGAGTTTTTCTTTCTTGATGCCAGTTTAAGTCCTGTGGGGTGAAAGGCAGTGGGTTGGGGGGAGGGGGGAAGGCTGCCTCCCCCAAGAACTGCCGAGTTTGTCGAGTCGTTTCTCCGAGAGGAAAAGTTATTGCGCGTGTGCTCCAGAGAACACTATAGTTTTGTAGCGTACGCCCCACCTGCTGACACCCGCGGATCATCGCGCGGTTCACGGGGGCAGTTTCAACGGAGAAAAGGGGGAAGGGGGAATAGTGCGCTTTTGTCAGACCCGTGCCGTTTAAAATTAATCCTCTCCTTTCGGACGCACACACTCACCGGATTTGTATCTTTATTCTTTGTACAAATTTAAGCAATCCTTCTTTTTGCTCACATTTTCTGCGTTGTTTTGAACACTTTTGTGAAATTGCACGGAACTATGTATTTTTCGCACAAATTTGTTCTAAACGAAACGTAGCACGAACTTTTGCACAAAAATACCCGCCCACACCGCATTCGTACGTGCGCACTGCGATGTGTATATCGCACTCATATTGACTTAATCTATCAATCGATTCGGCTCTCTTATCAGTCTACCCTGGTATCAATAGTACTGTAATGAGTACACAGACTGTGCTGCACATTCACCGCCCGACTGCAACTGCCAAAAGAGACGTCAGGCCTCGCGTCAGGCCAAACGAAAAGCCCCAACAAAGATGTAATAATGTAATGTAAATCAAAGAAAGGCATTCGAGTCGAGGGGTCGCCAACTCGCATAATACTCCGTACACGGGTCCCATAATACGTTACTTCATATTATGCAATAAAATACCCCACATAATACATATACTACCTAATAATACTACATGATACACCATGAC